TACCTATACCCCAACACTACATTTAATAGACACCTAACCCCTGCCCCAAACCATACGACTGATAGGGTTGTAATTTTAACCTTAACATATTTAACATGCAAAATCTGCTTGGCCGTTTCTAGAATGTGTGTGTTTTATAGTTCTCACTGCATACAGCAGGGTAAAAATAATCCATACAATATAAAAAGTAAAAATAAAATGTAAAATGTGTAAAAGCTGCACACATGCCTTAAAAGCATAGGTTTGAGAGATAATGGGTGTAAGCCCCATTTAATTACCAGTTGGTTAAAACAAAGAACAAAAATGCTATTTCTGCTACTGTAAAGAATACCACCTATTCTATTAGTTTGTGATGTATAGATATATAAATAGTCCTGTCATGTTATGTTGGGATGTCAAAAGCCCCACTGTCAAAAGGTGAAACAATCCAGAAACATACTGTATACCCAATAGGTTTCACATTTCACAGCAAATGAAACACATGCATACAGTGTTTTAAGCAATGTGCAACATTTTAAAGAAAAAATCCTTTTACTATACTTCATGCGATCACAGCATTATAAATATATAAACCAAATGGGATTTATGGATCCTGACAACTACTTCATAGTTCTGCCTTATAGTTCTTATTTCATATGTAGGCTCTGAATCTTAATCTGTTTAGATATACTGTACAGTATTTAGACAAAGCAATCCATCTAATCAGCATATGACCTCTTTATATAATGTTGATTCCATCGAGAACTGTTTCACGACAACTGTATAAAACCTTGAAATGATTATTTCCTTTAAATGTGCTTAACACCAAAATGCCACAGATTTTTTTTAATCAGTATGCATCTAATTAATTACACAGTATTTTAGAATAGTCTCCATAAAAAAAGATTATTTTAGACTGAAAATAGAGAAGTATAAAGAATATCAAATCAGAGCATAAATGCTAGTAACTCTGGGAACATATCTTTGGACTTTTGGAATCTTCTGGAGAGGACTTTATAACTTGGTAGATGTGAAATAGGTCCTTCCAATTTCAGTAAGTTCCTGTGGGGTTTAGACTGGATTGTTCAAAGAGTTTGAATTACACCTCCACAACAGCAAAATCTCCATGAAGGCAAAACTTAGCTTTTCTTCCAGGCAGCAGTGTCTTATGATCCCTATGTCTGTCTTTGGAGAAACAGCAAAGGTGATTAACAGGAGTGTGTGGCATCTGTCATGACAAATAGTGTGTTGGAGAAAGTAGATATCTCTAGCCAAGAATCCAGAGACCCACTGAACACTGTAGGAGCTATCTAAAACAAAATAATAGATTTTGAGCGACCGTGTCCTTCAAGTAAGCAGATAATGGAGCTGATTTACTAAAGGAGTGGATAATAAATTGTGTGAATATTCACTTCAATTATCCATTTGAGTGCAGATTAAATAAGTCAACAGAAATGTATTCAAATTAAATTGAACCTCTTTAGTAAATCAGCCTCATTGCATGTACTAGGGATGCACCGACCAACCATCTTTTCAAGACCGAGTACGAGTACCAATAGTTTTCCTCAAGTACTTGCAGATATCAATAACTGATACTATTTTTAGTGTCATGTGACAGTTTTCTTAAAACAATACAGACTAATGATTTTAGGACAGTGGTGGAGTGCCTGGGCCCAGTTGCAGCTGCAAAAGCTGCACCCCTGGTAGTACTACCACTGACTCCAGGCTGTAAAGGGACTACAAATCCCAGCAATACATTATACTGCAAGTCAGAATACCACCAGCTATAGAGGAATACAAATCCCAGCGATACTTTATACAGCATTGCAGAATACCACTAGCTATATGGAACTACAAATCCCAGCAATACATCATACAGCAATGCAGAATAAGCTACCTACTCTGTAATGCTCACCAGGGCTGTGCGGGGTCTGACCAGGGTTGTGTGCAGTCTCACCAGGGCTGAGGGGTCTCAGGAGGCTGTGCAGGATCTCACCAGGACTGCATATAGGTCTGCCCAGGGCTGTGTATGGGTCTCACCAGGTCTGCATGGTCTCATCGGGGCTGCATGCAATCTCACCAGTGCTGTGAGGTCTCACCAGGGCTGTGCGGCCTCATAAGGACTGTGTGCAGTCTCACCAGGGCTGTTTGGTCTCACCAGGGCTGCTGCAGGCCTCACCAGTTCTCCGTGTGGGACTCACCAGGGCTGTAGGTGCAGGTGTGAATTTCAACAGGGCTGTATGGATAGGTGCATGTCTCACCAGAGCTGTATGGGCGGGTGTGGGTCTCACCAAGACTGTATGGGCAGGTGAGGGTCTCACCAGGGCTGTAGAGGCGAGTGCGGGTCTCATCAGGGCTATACGAGTGAGTACTGGTCTCAACAGGGCTGTGCAGGTGAGTGCGATCTCACCAGAGCTGTGCCGTGTTTCCCCATGGCTATGCAGGCAGGTGAGTGGGCAGTGAGAAGGAGGAGGAGATGTGCAGCTGGACCAGTGCTGTGAACAGACGCTGCAAGGTCCCCAGCAGGCAGTCGTGAGGTCCCCAGCAAGCGCAGGACCTTACGGCAACCGAATCCACTAAAAAACTAAAAGGGCCGGTATTAGCTTTAAGTATAGGGGCATTTTCACGAGTACTCGTGAAAATGCCCAGTATCAGCACCGAAACCGATACTGGTATCGGTGCATCCCTAGTATGTACCCAATTATTGTATAAGTACAATAATCAACTAGTTGCTTGAACATGTGTCTAGTTTTATTTTCTTTAAATAAAGCTTAAAGCATATATAAAAACTAAGAGGAACAATTTTATAATTTGCAGCTTGGCAGTCCTTACATGTGGTGGCTGCAGTAGGTTAATTTCTGTATGCTTTTTCACCTGGTGATCCTGGCAGTAACACATTTTCTGTCCTAGGGTGACAATGCTCACTCACTGTACATCTATGGGGGACCAGTGTCACCCTGGGTTGTGCTCCTTTTTTGGACTACAAACACGGCCTCGTCTTCTAATCTCTACTACATAGGAGGAAGGTTTGGCAAGCACATTGTACGTGCAGAAAATGCACTTAGTCTAAAAAATAAAAACTAATGTAGCCGCCAATGACTGATAAGCAGAAATATGTAAAACATTCTCTTGGGTTTAGACATCCTTTAATTGTGTGAACACATTTATTTTTGTCCTCATCACCAATATTTTAGGTCTTTAGCAACAAAGATCATTACTTAATTAAAGTATTTACTTAACTCACCTTAAAAAACTAAATTGTGCTTAATACAGAAAGGATTATGAAGTACAACAGAACATAACACTGGGTTTACTAAGGTCTAGATATAGAACAACTGAAAATAGCTGGAAGCAGATGTCCTGGCAATGCTACATACAGATCACATTAGTTCTTCCATCTCTAACACTATAATAGAACATATTTCTACCTAGTATCTCATATTTAGGAATACCTAATTAACTGAACTGACAGACTGGTATTTACCACAAGGAGATAAGCTGGTGTGCAGCGGGTGTATTAAATAAGAACACTACAAAAATACACTTCAGTGTCTCTGTAATAGATCAGAATTTATAAAGGTATTGTACATTGAACATCCAAAAAATGCTGCTTTTGTGCCTTCTGTTCTGATAAAGTGCACAAAGGAATGTGTGTGGCAACCTTTAACTATAAAATAAAAATTATAAAAAAATCACATTCTTATTTTAGCCACTATGTTTGGATGCTGGAGTGTATGTGATAAATCACACTTGCTAGTAAATCAGATGCAGCATAGATTCCATAACAAATCATACTTGCTAGTAAATTCAGTTTGTTTTCACTGTAGCATATACACAGGCAGGGCTGCAATTAGAAACCTTGGGGCCGCAATACACCCTACCTGACAGAGCCCCCTGACTAACCGTTGGCATCCATTCTTCCTACACTGCTCACCTTTGCATCCCCTGCATCCCTGTTCCTACTCTTCTTATCTCTACACCTCATGGATCCTTCTTCCCACTCTGTTCACCCCTGCACACCCCACATGCCTCTTCCCTTCAGTGCTCACCGCTCCGCCCCTGCATCCCCTTCCTACACTGGGTCAAAGGCTGCCATACTCTTCCATTAACTTCTGTACATTTTTAAATCCCTCTTCTTACATTGTTTACCCCCCAACTTTCTTCTAAACTGCTCAATCCCATGCACATTACCTCAGGGCAGGACTTCAGCTCCTGCCGACAGAGACACAATTGACTGTGGCTGGTACAGGGTGATAGCCAAGCATGGGGCAGGGTGGAGCCTAAGCACAGTCCATAAAAGCAGGCAGGCCCCTGATTGGCCTGCTCAGTGGGCAATCCCGTCTGCTCGCCCGAACACCTACAGGGAAGGGTGGGAGTAGCCTGTCTATCAACTGGTTACTATGGGTTGGACTGTCCTCCTTTCCTAGAGGTAGCCCGTACCTGTCTCAGCCCCCCCTGCTGACTTTATTGGACTCGGGCCCAGTACAGGAGGGCTGCCTGTACCTTCTATTCACAGCCTTGTACACAGGCGTTTATGTACATTTTGGCCACATAATAAATACTGTGAGGATAAGATTTTGTTGTTTATACACAATTGATGCACAGGAGTATGCCCATATCCTTCAATTAATAAACCCCATTAAGCAAATAGAGATGTGGAAACATGGGGAGGGGGAAAAAACATTAGCCAAAAGGAGCAGGAAGTAGGTGCATAGGAGTTTACAGTGAGACAGAAGTTATTATTTATTATCTACAGGAGCGTTACTATCATCATACGCATCATCATATTGACATAATCCTGGGTTGCATGGTACAAGAGGTACTAGGTTATTTAGAAAAAAAGTGTATATTATAGCATATCTATATTTACATCTAGCAGGAAAAATAATCTGTCATTCTGTCTATAGAAAGTAAATTCAACACAACTAACCATCTACTGAAAGCGTTAGAAAATAAGTGCACCATGAAAAAATTGTTTGAAAAGGCATTAATCACAATAAAGTTATTTTAAACACACTGACCTTTCTAATATTTTTGTTTAAATCAACCAGGTTGAACATATAGATGTAATCTTTTGCTCCGACAAATAGCCGACCCCTCTCTTCATCTAGCAGCAGGGTCTGAAAACCAAAACTCTCTGGTGTGGAGTCCGAAAATGGTATGCAGCTGTTTGACAGAAGTAGGTCTGAGGTAAAAGAAAGGCAATTGTCAGAATGGAACTGTTTATTGACATGTCACTTGATTCTTTAAAAAAAAAAATACCAAAAATCCACATTCCTTAGCTCAATGCATTACACAATTATATCTCTGCTACTGTAGACATAACCTTAACTATATTTGGAGAAAGAAAGTTGATTTGATATGGGTAATTATCCAAGTGATGGTTGAGAGAAATCTCTGAATAAATACCATTTTCAGCATATATATCAGACAACCCTGACATGCACCAGCAGCTGTAGATTAATAGAATTATACATTATCATTGCCATATCAAAGTGTGTTTGTGTATACTGAGAGAGAGGATAGAAATTATGTAAAAGATCAGTAACTCACAAGTAACCCACAACAATCACACATAACATAAGGTTAGCATTGTTAGGTCAATGCTAAATGATTTATTGTATATTACTATCTTATCTGCATTGATATCTTCAATACTGACTTAGCCACTGACTTGAACTATATACCAAGTTATCTGAAGCACTACAACAATTTATCTTCTCTATGAAAGTAGGCATTCAATTGTACACCTTTAAAATGTCTTTTCACACAATGAGATGGATTTAATAAAGGAATAAAGACTGATCACCTCTGCAAAATTAAGCTTCAATGAGCTTAGTAAATAAGGTAAAGAAGTGTTCACAGGGGCATCCCCATAATGAGGCAGCCTGAGGCGGTAGCCTCAGGTAGCATCTCATTGGGGGGCAGCAGGTGCATGGGGGGGCAGCACCATGGGCAACTAGCAGCACATACTCACCTCCTGCTGACAGCTTAGCCACCACTCACCACCTCCAGCTTGGCTGCCTCCTGCTCGATCGCCTCCGGGTCAGCTGATAGCTCAGCCCCTTTCTCCTGGCCACCTCAGGAGGCGAAAAAGGTAGGAACAGCCCTGAGTGTTCACTTTAATCATGTGCCAGCAAATGTTCAGCTTTTTTATATTCTCTCACACACCTTATTTGCCAACATCCACTTTGCAAAGTGAACATGAATTTTGCATAATGAACATTCATTTTTCCAGGTGAACAATTTCTATTCCTCTGGTAAATCAAATTACCATGCTAGGAAAGCAATAGGATAATTAATGGAAAATCTTGATTTAGTGATTACATTTTCCAACAAAAAGAATGGCCCTCTTTTCATTGTGTGTGCACCAAGCCAAAAGATGTGGAATTGGAAGTGACAGTTCCAATGCAATGCATTGTAGCAAGACGAATTTTAGAATGGGCAGATCTCCCAGATGAGTTTGGCCCATCGATATCTTCCTTATTTGGAGAAAAATAAGAGTTAGATAAAGCACAGTTTTACATCTACCTCTAAATAAATACATTGTACTGAGATTTTCTTAGGTGTATTACCAGGCACTGCTTGCATGTGCAGATAATGATTTCTGTGCAAAAAGAGAACGTTATGCAGCTGTAAGAAGTTCCAAGAGCTAAATTAGGAGCTCAGAAACATGCAAATCACTGTGTGATGCCACATATACTGTATGTATCCCTTTCACAACAAGTCCTTGCACAATCTTTGGTTTATGCATTATTTCCAATAAACACTTCCAAAGTCATCTGCGGATAGGGGAGCTCGAAGGTTCAGCCAGCATTACTTACGAAAGATAAATAAACAAAAAACTGTGTATTTTTTTACAAACAGAAAACATTTACAGCATTTATATATCCATGTGGTACAATTATCTTTCATTTTCAAACACAAGGATACAATCCAATTGTCATTTTGACTTTTAGTTCAGTTATTGAATCGAGACAATGTTTATTACTCATGCTGTAAATTCTTGAACTTGGTGGACTTGTGCTTTGACATTTATAGAGCAATCAAAATAACATATTTTAATAATAACTGAACTCAACATATATTTCAAATATGAAACACAGTTGTGAATTACTTAAAGAAAGAATGTTTTTTTTAAATGCAACAAAAGTGTGATTACTTAAATGTATCTTGACATTAAAATCCTCTAATCCCTCAAACAGGGAGAGTAAGGGCCATTACTGGGAGCCAGTATGGTCTGCTGCAGTGAACCTATTGACAGGGGAATACAGCACAGTATGCAGAGTTGATGGCTCAAGTTTGTGCAGCTCGTTCATTATCTGATTATCCAATCCAGTGACCAAGATGTGCTACTGCAGCCGTGGAGTTTAAGGATCTGGCAAAGGTGCCTGGATCACAAGACTGGAAGAAAATAATTAAAGTGACACTAAATTTAGGAGTTGAATCTTATAAATGTATTATGACCAGCTATCCGTACGGTCGGTATTGTACACCGTACCATTTTTTAGAGCTGATTATCTCTATTCCTCGTGTGCTTATTGACCAATTCGCTTAACAACCTTATCGTAAGAACAGAACTTGGTCATTAAGTGAGCAGTATCTGCAATAGGGCTGCACATAGATGCAGCATTATTAAATGAAATGGCTTGTTCTCTCTAAGACTAATAGACTAAGATTTATAAGTAGCTGGGAAATACAGATGGCCATATGCACAATTCTGCAGCATAAGGTAGGATATTTTTTTTTACTTGTAAACATATGCAGTGGAAAGACTGAGTGCAGGGCATCACAGCCCTGCTCCTGAGCACCGATACCCTGCAGTTCTTGTGTATTAACGTAGAAAGTGGCACTGATGTCATCATGTCAACAGTGCTCTCTGCATCATTCAGGACCTGCCGCCACTGGAAGAAAACTGAGGAGGAAGAGGACCTAGTACATCACATGACCAGCCACAAGATATCAGAAAAAGCAAAGTAAAAAATCCCAAAAAGCATAAAAACCATCGGAGGGGACATCAAGGGGGAGCTTTGGAGTGGGGCAGCTTGGAATACTGAGTTGGGCTTTAATATGTATCACATGCATGATCGTGATGTGCATATATTTGTCCAGATTTCTGCTAATCATAAAGCCATGAAAGTCTCCTGTACTGATCATTTTTTACTATTTTTGTTAAACCTACACCCTAAAAGGATGACATTAGGTTGCCAAAACACTGTGTATTATAAACAATAGCCATTTTGTTTCATAAAATTCTTTTTTTTCTCTCCTTTTTTTCATCTCATTTCTGTCTACATGCTTGTGTTCCACTGGCAGCTTCCCATCATTTCTCTACATTGTCTTCTGTGTAATTCTATGTAATGTGTGCTGGCACTGCCACTTGTGGTCTCCACCAAGGGTAAGTGTAATAGAGTAACAATGCAGAATTAAAATTGGGAGAGAGTTGTTACCTCAAAAACAGGAAGTGCCTGAGCAAAAACCTTTATTGTTGGATGGCCAGTGAGCCTTTTGATAAAAGATTTAAAGAGATTGAAACAACTTTTCCGATTGTAATTTTACCTGATCAATGACACCATTGAAGGACGTAGGCTTATAGCCCCAATATATCACAGCTTTATTTTTTAGGCCCTGAGGTAATTAAAAGATTTTAAAACAGCAAAGGAGTTCAGACATATTTCAGAATGTGTGGCAGGGACCAAATAGAAATATCAATAAGTTGATAAAATAGTCAACTTATAGGCAACAGCATCCACTGTATATAGCAGCCTTTATCAATCAGGGTGCCTTCTGCCTCCCTTAAGGTCATGTGTTTCCATACTGCAGGTGGCTCAGCTTTAGGGAGGACTAAGGACTCTGGTATAAAGTGAAGCTTCTGATGTGAAGGGGGTTCCTAATGTGTAGTGGCAACTCTTATGTGAAAGAGGGGGGACTCTGATATGAAAGGGGATCTCTGATGTAAAGGGTGGACTCTTACATGGACTCTGATGTGAAGAGGAGCTTCTAACGTGAAAGATGGATCTTGCTGTACAGGGGGTCTCTGATGTGAAGCAGGGGGCTTCTGATCTGACAGAGGAGGCTTGATGTTCGAAGTGGGCTCCTCAGGTGAACAGGGGCTCCTGATTTGAAAGGTGGACTCTGATGTGAAGAGGGTTCCGTATGTGTAGGAGGGGGCTTCTTATATGAAAGGGAGTCTCTTGTCAAGAGGAACCCCACTTTTTTGTGTACTTGTATGGGATCCCCCATCTTGGATAAGGGTCTGGTATGGATATGGAGGGACCATGCATTTTCTTTTTACTTTTTTGTATTTTCATTTTTGACTGGGGTGTCTTATGATTTTGCATACTTTTAAAGCGTGCTGTGAATTTTCGAAATCAATTTAAGGTATTTAATGAACAAACATGAAGATTTGAGACTATAAATGTTTCTACTGGACTACTTGCAATTTAAGATATTATATTCTCAAGGTCATAGTACTTTTATGAACTCCATATTTTCAGTATTACAGCACCACTACTTGAAACCAGAAAACTTAATAGCACCTGCTATACACACAAAATGTGTATTGATTATGGAAATTTGGAATGGAACTACATGATTTCATTGTAACTCTATAGTTAGAAAAAAAACATTCTATAAACTTAGCTAATTCCCTCTTGATTTTTTATGGGTCCTTTAGATCTGCCAAAGAAAGCAAATTACAAGCATGCACATTAGTCAGAAACTATCCATTATCCTTGGATTGCTGATTAATATTTAATTGTGTATGTGTTAGCTATAGCCTGGCCCTTCACATTTCTAATAACAGTTGCTATAATACCCATAAGGTATTTATTAGGTTAAAAGAAATCTGCCTTTTTCAAATTTTCAGACAGAGCTAATGAAGCAGGCATTAATTCCAAATCAATAAGGGACTATGTAAAATAAAAAGATTGGCAAAGTCTAAAAGTCTTTTTTTTTCATCTGGGTTTAATCTGTTAGAATCTATCAAAGATTTAAGGATGATCAAAGTTATTTGAGAAAACAGAAATGCATTAAACACAGTTACTTCTTACAGCATAATGTAGCTAGAATTTGCTTTTCACAGCTTTGAAGTTCAAATAGTTTCAAATTTAGTTTCACATCATGCATAGCATTTTTGATTTTTATCTGTATATTTGAGCATACATAAACATAAAAATACAAAAC